GATTCGGCGAGTTCGGCGGGGTGAAACTCGGGGATTAGGGGAAATGGGCGGAAAAGCAAGAAGAGGGAGAAGCGGAAGGAAAAAAGGTGGCGTAGGTTACAGGGAAACTCCCAAGTACCAAACTGGTTATGTTCCAGTCCACAAAGTCCTCTGCATCACATTGGTTTTGCTGTTTGAAATCGCGTGTATGACTGGCCGTATGACGTGTATCGGATCCTGTCGTGGCCGGCGATTTCAGCTGAACACACAGGCTGGCACAGGCCACTAACTGGATTTGAGTTTGTTTCTTGCTAGGGGGCGGCTGCCCTGCTTTCGCGGCTGGCACGGGGGCGGGCTTTGCAGTTACCGACGGCGGCAGGCGTGTGGTACTGCGCCGGCAACAGAGAAACTCGGCCGCGGGGCGAGTCCTGCGGCGACACAGTCCTATGCAGGAGAGGCGGTTCTGGAGGCCCCCTCCTTTGACAAATACAATGAACGCTCCGCCCGTCGCAGGAGTTGAATACACGACCGCACATCAACCCTGCACACGGCTCATCTACAGGGTAGGCATTTAGCCACAGCTCCAAACGCAGTTGTAACTTAAGTTGATTTGGTGCTATGGCTTGACTTTGATCTAAGCCGACCTTAGTGACCGGACAGGACTCCTTATATTGCGTTCAAACCGTTATGTATAAGGCATGCTGTCATCATCGACAAGATGGCAGCGCTTCGCAAGTTGAAAAGTGCATTTACGAGGAATGTCGTGCATGTAGGTCAAACAGTATTAATAGCTCTACTCTTCGAAAAATAAACAAGGAAGTGGAGAGATGGGTGTGATAGCTCGACTAGATATCTTTATCGAAGAGAATATCGGTAGCAAATTCAAAATTGCCTGCCGATCCTTCTCGACTTTTCAGATTTTTATTTTTTGATTTGGAAACGGCGAGTCACAGTTTTTACACATCACCAACATGCAGGGGATTCAACAAGGAACAACTGACAGCCTTTTCTGTGATACAGTGCACATCTAACTGAGAATAAAAATACGCAAAAATATGTGTACATGCAAATGAGCCCAAGCTTTCAAACATTACGTATGCCACATCATTCACTCATGCCAGCGATTTCAAGTAAACAGTTTCAAGTAAACAAATATCACACATCACGCATCACTTTTACATGAAACGATTTCAATTAAACAGAAATCGAGTATCAAGTGGCAGGCAACACTGATACATAAAAGCCATTTTAAACATACATCACGCAGCAAGACACCAGTCACACTCACATCATCGTTCATGATGAATCGTGTACGTCAAATGCTGGTCGCCAACTCCTCATAAAAATAGATTCTGTTCTTTTCTTGTCTGAATGGCCCGTGTTTTGAAGATAACTTTGGGCTCTAAAAGGGTCAAAGGGTCCGTACCGCCCTGGATTTCGGCCTCAGTGTGCTTTGTCAAAATATGGTCGCCGAAAGGGCTCGTTTTTGTTCTCTGTCTCGTTTTTAGCATCTCGCAGTTGTCCATTATAACTGAAACGAAGAGGGCGCGAAGAGGGCGATCCCCGACACAGACGATGTGCCTCCCATGTTTTTTTTCGCACAGTTTAACACTTCATTTCGTAAATCCCGTTCCTTCGCGTGCAAACCGCATGAAACCCAGACATGCCTGTATAATGACATCCCGGGCACTTGGCTTTGATATAAAATACTTAACTAGAGACTTCTTAGACTCCTTGTCGTTTTTCTAAGCTATGCGCGCGCGGAGTTTTGATTTTCTAACGATATCTCTAATTTTCCAAAGCAAGTGTTCAACTATGTAAGGTAGTGTCAGGCCAATTTATTTACCCAACGCAAGCTTTACGATGGGGCATACAGGGGACAGAAAGGGGGTCCACATTTGGACACACTAGTGACGGTAAAAAGGAGGAACAACCGCACAACATTAGAAACGGAACTGTTATCAAGCCCCCCAACTCTGGTATAATTTTGCACTCGAATCTGCGCATCCGACTTCCACTAAGCACAGTGTAAATCGTAACATGCTCCGTAGGGCTCTCAACAACTTATCAAGCAATGAAAAGGAAAGAAGGAACATAAACAATAGATGGACTTTACTGTTGGACAATGGCTATTCTCCAAGACCTTTAGGTAGAAGTTGGAAGAAGTCAAAACATCTAGAGCACGTGGGGGAGGGGTGATAGGAAACGGGAACGCGCCCTGTCACCCGACGGATTCTTAACACTGCCGTACATAGATTAGCACTTGCTTTTTTAAAGTCAAACATGTCGTTGGAAAGGCTAAACCGCGCGTGCGCATAGCTTCGAAGAACAAGAAGCTAAAAAATATAAGGTGAAATATTTTATCTCGAGGCCAAAGTTCCCCGTGCGTCCCGTGCGTTACAAATCAAAACCCCGCGAGCGTTAGAAGGACAGGAAGGAGCTAAAGAAGTCTCTAGTTAAATATCTTATCTCGAAGCCTAAGTGCCCGGGGTGCAATAGGTGTTGTACATGCCTGTCTGGGTTTCAGGGGTTTGCACGCGAAGGAACGTGGTTTACGAAATTAAGTCTAAACTGTGCGAAAAAAAATCATGGGAGGTACTAGTCTATGTCTGTTTTTGGTCTTAAAAAATACATGACCGAGAACTGCACCAAAATGTCCTCAAGACGGCTATTTCAGTTCCAAGCGCCATACCTATGCGGAACATTCCCTTTCAGGAACAGCTGGCCTTCAGCTCGCGTTGCTCACAGAAAGCTTTTTTAAAAATTATTTGCAGTGTATATTTGTCGAGAACAAAATGCCTTGGACCTAAGAACACCGAGAACCACCCAAGGTTCAGCCCCTGGTCATGAGCCAAATGATGCAATGCAAGCACTGTACCTCAACCGAGTTAAATGAGAAATGGAACAGCAATGAGTCATGAGCTGAATCAGATCCTAAACTCTGCAAGCCATTCCTGAGCTGCCTCAAAATATTTTAGTCAAAACCATGTCTAATGGAAACTACTACAGCCTAGAATAGCCCAAGAACCGCATGGTTCGTGGGCATGTGCATGAGTAGCGCATTTCTGCATAGCTATTCGACATAGCTGCTCTCATTATTCGAAGCTCGGTAAGCGACTTAACAAAAAATCAGCTCTCTCAGTATCAAAATCGGTGTACATGAATAATCACCCACACTCAGGCCGTGGGGCAGTGATCTGAAGTACGGATAATCGCCATTTCCAGGTGCCATCCTGCACAGCACACCGCGCTACGGTGTCTACCGCAAGAAAGCGAAATGGGTATCAGGAAAATGGTTTCGGCGGGGGAGACTGCGACGACGGCAGGAAACATCACGCTGACAACGGTGGTCATAGCAACACCTAACATCTGTTGAATGGTTAAGTGATTGTTGCATCGGACATAATAACAGGGGAGTGTATGCTTTGCCATTTGCCAAGGGTGCTGTCGTCGAGTCAATTTCGGTCAAAGACATGGTGAATAAACTTTGACCTGGTTTATTATCGATGGCATGAAGCAGTCTGCCTGGAATTACGGCAGTCGATCATCCAGATGAAATTGAAATTACAGATCGGTGAAGCCCAACTGGGGCCCATCTGGGGTGGTTAAAAAGGCCCCATCTGGGCTAGCTGTATGGGTCCCATCTGGGCTGGTTACATGGATCCCAGCTAGACTGGCCCGTGTGGGTTCCAACTGAGTTACCCAGGCGGGTCCCAACTGGGCTGCCCAGGTGGGTCCCATGTGTGTCCCAGCTAAGCCCCACAAGGGCCCCACATGGGCTTCCATGTGGGACCCAGTTGGTTGCCTATGACATGCCCGCAAGGGCCCGAGGTAGCAGACCCAGGTGGGCCCTATTTGGTTGCCCATCTCGGACCCACATGGGTCCCGGTTGTAAACGTTGGATGGGTCCCATGCGTGCCCCAGTTAGGCCCCCCATGGGCCCAAGAGCCACCCATATGGGACCTAGGTGTTTGCCCATGACACGCCTACATGTGAACAAAGTTGACAGCCCAGGTGGGCCCCATATAGCTGTCCGACTGGGGCCCATATGGGTCCTAATTGGACATGATGGCTGGGATATCCCATCATCCGTACTACCCGGAAGACGATATCTTCCCCAAGGCCCCTGTAGTCCAGGACATATCAATATCATACTCATCCGGTAAAAATGTTGTTCTGCAAATAAGGTGCGAGTGTTTCTCCAGGCACGTTTCCTAACCGCTTCCCCATGCTCCCCACTGACCACCAACCGATCGACCTTGCTGCGTCCTACGAGCATCTCGCAGTCAAATGGGCAATGGAATCACGAAATGCTGAAGGTTTTCTACCCCATCGAGCGAAAAGAAATTCACGAGGTTCACCTCTAAACAGCCTGATGTCCTCTGCTAATCGTTGGATTACCGGACTGCGCTATTTAGCATTTATGCGAGCTAGATCCCGCAGGTTTTAGAACCAACCGGTGCTTGACACCGCGCCCCCCTTAGTACGAACTCGTTTTAAATGTTCTCGACGACGCGCTGGAGGGGCCTGCTGAACAAAAGAAAAACTACGTGCCAGGTTAATACAAAAGCCGCGCGTCAAAGACGATAAAATTGTTTGGTATCTTTTATGCTATTGTTTTCAGTGTTTTTATAGCTGCGTGCATCCGTGAGTAGGTGGTGTCGATGCGGAGAATCCGTGGTGGCTGTGGCACGCGTAAGTTTCGTGCAGTTTGTTTTGCAGTTTCGCCTGAGTTTCCTGCTGCATGGTAACACATGGTTCAGAGGGAGTGCAGTATTTCACAAATTATACAGGGTTCTTTCCACGGCACCCTTCAAGTAGATGTCACTTACTTCTCAGGTATCGAAAACGATAGGCTTCAACCATTTGATTCTCTTGAAAACTGAATGATGGTTTATTTGAAGGATATCGTCTCAGGAAATCATGCCGTTTTACCCTAAATCCACTAATTGTACATTTCAGAACCAGCAGCATGGTTCTGAACTGGCAAACCCACTGCACGCCATATGGCCCTGGCAGCTGAGTGTGTCATAATGCCCCAATGACATGCACATATGCAATAAGCAGATTTATGGTAAACAGCATGCTTTTCCAAAACAATATCCTTCAAATAACTTGTTGTCCAGTTCTTAGCAGAGTTGTATGATTGAAACCTATGGCTTGTGATAGCTGAGAAGTAAGTGACATCTATTTGGAGAGTTCTGGTAAGGATTGCCCCCATGTGCTATTTAAAATGCTTTCATTATTGTTAAATGCTTGACACAGTGCAGCTTCATGTCAGTTTATCCTGGAGCATTGTGTAGTTCTGTAGATATTGTCATTTATTAGTCTTTAAGAAATGTGCAAGTTCAAAACTGCCCAGTTTCTTTGGCATTCATCCCTCAGATTAAATGTATCCAGCATTAAGAAAGCTGAACACACATTGCACAATCTACTTCTGCAATATGTACCACACTATATGCATGGTTATGACAGTTCATGTAAGTCAGGTTATACTTGCACTTAGTTATACCTGGTTAGGTGCTGTTTCAGATTAGATGTAACACATCAGGTAACATGGATGAGCCAATGCACAACCAGTCAGCTCAAGCTCCAGACAGCACAGCTGCATCACCAGTGGCTGAGACCCTGGGAAAAGGCCTTCTGGACATCTATCAACCTGCCCTAGAGGACAGCAAAGACCACATAGATGAACTCCTGTGAGTATTGTTGTGCTTGAATACAAGCTAGAATTTCTGGAATTTTTCAGTTTTTATGTTTAAGACTGTCCTTTGGCATGCCTTGATGTCATAATTACATGACACCACACACTTTGTAATGAGCATTGGTTATTTTCAACAAAGAAGTGGTGACATTCAATGACATTCCCCTTGGATGGCTTTGTCTCAGCTTTGCTTTTGTGATATTCCTAGCCTCAATATATTGGTATCTGATTGTCTCAACAGAGCATTAAGCATTTCTTGGAACATCACCTTCTATTTCAGGAATGGCCAGAATCGGTTGATAAACTTGATGCAGCAAGAGAATGGCCGTTTCAAAGAATGTGAATACACTTACAATATAGCAGAGCTGGTAAGCAAACTTTGAGGTGGCCAGTGGATAGAGGCATTTTATTCTCCAGTGGAATTGGTTTTTGAAATATCTGCATGCAAATGCTGTGGCAGATTGGCATGATGATCACAAAACCTGGCACATTGAAATAGCATTCTGGACTTGTCAGACTTGTGGATCACACCCAGAGGCACGATTTCTGTGTCACCAAGATCTTTTTGGACTCAAGTCATGCATGTATGGGCACCTTGGAATATAGAATACCTGTGGCCTGTTGAAGGTAGTAAGACTTGGTTCCCTTTGCATGCTGTTGCGCAAAGTGATGGCTCATATAAGCAACAGACGTGGGCAGCAACGCGTCTCGGGCAGCGCCTGCCACTTGTTTGGTGCGGATTGAGGGCTTGCTTGTTGTGGACTGAGGAAAGCATCAACCTACTTTTTACGTGTGTGGCACAGCTGTCCAATGAAATCACAACCGAGGTACAGTTAGTTTGAGACATATTTGTCTCGCCATTGGCAGTTGCAGCAAGTCCGCACGTACCACGGAAAATTGACGAGGATAAAGAAGCAAACAAATAGCATCCAAGAGAAGAGTGCAAAGTTAAAGGTGAGTAAACCACCCCTATAGCTCTCATTCCATAGTGAATAACACTTATCCCCAGTGTATTCATCTACCTCCCCATTCCGCGCTCTGGTGGACCACCATGTCACCTTATCGTGTTTGGGGCGCCCTCACTGGCTGACGGCGGTACTAGTATGTGACAAACGCGTCTCGAGGCGGCGCCCCGATCGCGTCCGCCTTGTCCGCGTGTGAATCGGATGTCGCATGCCCACCGAGCTCGTGCGGCACGAGACTGACGATGCCTACAGGCGACGAGCAAGGCGGGCGCGCGCGCTGACTGGTTGGCCGTCGTGTTGCAGCGGCGCTCGGTGCGGCTGAAGGAGCAGACCGAGGCCCGGGCGGAGCGGGCGCGGCTGGACCGGATCCGGGCCAGGCAGAGGGAGGAGCAGCTGGTCGCCAAGTTCGCTGGGCCGTCCACCTGAGCACGCTGTCTTAAGCACCATGCTGGGCCGTTGCTAGCCATAGAGCGGATTTTATTCGGGACTAGGAAGGGTTAGGGCATACGAGTGGCACGGGACCGCCCGGCCCCACATAGTCAGCGAGCCGGGCGCCCGTGGCTCATACAGATCTGGCGCTTCGAGTGATTCCATTGCGGCGACGCGTTGCGCTTCGCGTGTTATTGATTTTGCGTGTAATGTTGGACGGTGTCATCCACTGGTCGCGTATTATAGGGACTAAGTCCCAGGATACATGAAAGCCGTGAATATACGTGTCGTTCGTTTGTTTGTCGTTTCGAGGTCGACGTTATGCGCCGAGAATTAATGACGAATCACGAGCGAAGGTACGTCTGACACAATTTTCGTAAATGGGGTGTTCTAAATTTGCGTGGGGTTTGGAAATGAAACAACCATCTTGAAGACCTTTTAGTGCAGTTCGCGGCCCTGCTCTTCTAAAGACCCCTCCAGCTTCTGAGCTATAAGCCCGCGAAAATGGAAGTGTAGTTCAGGGCCCGGCGTCCATGACGTCATCCAAATGACATTCCATAAGCCTTGCGGCGACTGAGACCGAGATAAATACACAAATCCAGTTGCTCATATCTGGCGTTCATGAGCAGAATTTGAATACGTAACGTCCAACTTGTTTCCAATGAATGTTGTACAAGACACGATTACGTAATCAAACAATGACGTATTGAGCATATTTACTAACCAAAGAACTTGCGTCGTCTAGAGCCGTCTTTTTCACTTGTAGTTTTCACTTTCACTCAGTCTGTTTCACTATTTTACTCCCAATGTAGTCTTGTGACAAATATGTTGCTTACGGTAATTTGTTCATGAAATGACCGAATTTCGTAAAATTGAGCTCCGTGGCCGACCTTATTTTAATGACCGATAATGGTTCGCATTACTATGGCACATGCAAATCGTTTAATTGATCCTGTAAACGTCAATAGCCAACGCATGCCTGTTGTACTTCCGGCTCTCGCTCAGTTCTGCAATAAGAACCTTTCCACTTCTGGGCATCCAATGGACCGGAGTTTCGGTGGCGCAGCCCGCGCTTTATCATTCGTGTTTTGTGATGCTGTTATCTGCCACTTGCCATCTTTGTGAGCTGATGTTGGTGTTCTGTGATGTTGCAGGTAAAACAGCTACGTGCCAAATTTCTGACGAAATAAAAACACGGTTCTATTCACATGTATTATTACACAATCATTTTCAATGAGTGGGTAATATGTTCACATTCACGGAGCTCCCATTCATCCGGAACCCACCGGAGGCAGCTGAAAAAGACAAAAATAGATAATTAAAAAAACCGTCCAATGGTTCATAGTTCCCAACCTCCTCGGGGAAGAGTTCTGCATGATAGACATACCACAACATTCTATGACAGTGCAATGCAACATGCGAATAGCATATGCTTTTCAAAGCACCAGATATGCACAATTTCATTTAGCTATCAGACTAGTAAAAATTATATCATCACACCAATTGGCGACCAGTATCAGCGCTCATGCTACATGTTATGCCTAGCAAACACTGGTCCCAGTGACACACTGCAATTTAAGCGAGCAAAACAATTGGGACCTTAAAAGACACCATCCACATCTCATTTAAATTGAGGAAAGCATTTGGAAAAGTTTTCACTTACATTTACTGCAGCATTTGGTCCACTGGTGTCTTTACTTTTTCAACAGCTGATGTCTGACCATGACAAAGGGGACTGAAAATCCACTGCCGCAGAACAGGATGAAGCCCAGAGTGAGGGCAAATCTGTTCTTTACGCTGAAAGGCCAGTTCTGAAACAAAAGCAAGACAAGTACATTACAATTTGTGTGCGATAGAACAGTCACTGCAGGGAGCAGCTGGCCAGTTTGATGATAGGTGGTCTTGATTTGCAAGGGGAGAAATTGGAAAAAGTCACACTTACATGAGGGTATGCACACAAATATGTACCTGTACAAACAACTAACAAGCAAACAGCCATGGACTATAAGGATGATGATCAAATTTGCCATTGTTGGTTCCTGACTAGGGAGGGACTCCCTAGTGCCATTATGCCATTGTGTAAAGCTGAACACTGACATATTTTAGTAGTTACATAACAGGCTCAAACCATCTGCTATTCACAACAGCTTTAAAGGAGGCAAGGAAATGAGGTAATGAGGCACACAGACCCGAGGGCCTCCCAAGAACACCTGGTGACCTTGTATGTCAGCAATATCTTAAACCTTTTCTTATAAGATTTAATCTGAATCCATTGAATACAGATTTCTGGGATCTGAGCAAACACTGAACAGTGTTAGTAGTGTGAGCCCTGACCCACATCCATCATACAATTCCAGATCAGTGGTAGAAGTCTGTGGTGAAAGTTTAATGTGTGTCAGTGCTGAGCAGGTCTATCCTGCCTCCTGATGTCCTTTGACCTTTAGCACGGCCGCGGCCACTACCACCAGGCCCAGCCGGGGAACATACTTACCAAGGTGAAATAGCCAGTGCCTAGAGTGCCTCAAACCCACTCCTACCAAGTGTGGGTAGATGGATCAGAAGGCAAGTGCTCTAACCAACTGAGCCAATGGAACAGACAGTCACCCCAGATTGTGTCTGGTTTTCCACTTGCATAGTGGAGCATCCAGTCTTCGCAGGCCCCCCCCCCCTCTCTCTCTCTCTCTCTCTCTCTCCCTCCTCTCCACTCTCTCCTCTCTATCTCTCCTCTCTCTCTCTCTCTCTCTCTATCTCAGGTTAGCAGGGATACCTGTGTATCTCCCCTTGTTCCAGATGATCAAAATAGCTACATCCCAGCTGGAATTTACTGCACCACAACCATAACAGAACAGAGCATAACAGAGCCTCAGGGACAATCAAGCAGTCAATAAAGGCATTTGCCTGTCACACCTAACGAAGCATTGAAATCAAGTGACGGACCAATGCCTGTTGGCAAATAATCTGTGTCAGGCTGTGTGGCATACATGATTTAATTTGTGCATGGTAGTAGGCAGATTTTTATACCTATTGGAAAAAGAATAACTCACAACTGTTGTCTCTCAGCCCAACAAAACTGCCACAAAGTTATGCATGATGCATTTTGAATGCATTGTGTGTGACATTTTTCCTTATAAATAAAACTAAATTAAGTGTTTGTGCCTTACTTGTCTCACAGCATCCACCAAGATGCAAGTGTACACCTCAAACAAGGATTTCAAATGATGCATGAAGTTCCATGCCATTCAGAAAACTTGTACATATCCATTGTGCTGGGAAGACAACATGATCAAACAAGTACTGAAGTTTTTGAAGGTGCTTAGAGTAAAGCATAAATCATTACCAAGCTTTGGCTAGTTATCATAGCTTACCCCCAAAAATGATAACATTTAGCATAATGCCTGCCCTGGTGGAAATATACCCTTATCACAGGGTTTTGCTACACAATTTTTTGTATTATTGCTACAAAACTATTGCTGGAAACCAAGTAGTTAGGGCTTGTAAGAAAAAACTAGGCAAGACCTTTGAGTGACCAGCCCAGACCATTGCAAGCCATCAATTTCTTGAAACATTGGTTCTCTGCACACCAAAGTTTGCAATCATTGTGTGCCAAACCTCACATTCATATGCATAGTATGCATGCACTGGAATTTTTGGTTATATTGCCAGTAGCTTACATGCCACTGCTGCACCAGCCATGTTCAACTTAGCATGAATTATATGCTAATGCATGCTAAGCCAAATGAAACAGCTCTGCCATGTGAATGGAACTTCATAGACTAGGGACCACTGCATTCTCACGTTGTAAGTAACTGCATTCGGGTAGGTGCGTTGCACTGCAACTGCTAAGCAATAGTTTCACATAAAACCCGACGAAAAAATGTCAGCTTTCCACGAACAATTTGCAAAAAGGCAGGAGTAATGACAAAAGACGTTCACGCGCTTCTTACCGCCATCGGGATGCCGCCATAATCGGCAACTCCCGCGCGCCGGACAGCCGATGTGGAGAGCTGGCGCACCCCAGTCGCTACTCTTGCAATAGGGAACATTTTACAGGTTACGGGATGACCCTCTGCCCACCAAGATTTAATGAATTGTCCGTGAACCCCACCTTCTCGCACCAATACGTAGACAAACGCTGAGTTCACCCCCTGCGCAGCGCCTGGCAAATAGAGGCGGCCCGTAATTTCCGAGTTATTCTATGCACTCATAAGTACAGCTGTATACAGGGTGATTATCTCGATGCTCAGCTAGTTACTTTTAAACAGATTTTATTTGTGCCTTTTCAAGTTGTTTTAGCAATTTTCTCAAGGAAGAACCGAAAATGTGTCAAAAACACTTATTGACATTCCAAGTATCACTATCAACCGTGGAAAAAACCTGCCCATTCTTATTTACTTTTTTGCTAGTTAGGTCGCGGGGGATGCAATATCTCCATACCTTTATGAATTTGCTACTAATTTGATTCACTTCATGAAATGGAGCACAGAAAATAATTTATTGGATTTTTTCATTCATTCTTTTTCTGTACTCTGTTCGGTTGATCAAAGTATAATTCAGTGCGTTATCGGTCAACTGACTTGAATCAGCTTACACTGTCGCCAAACGCTCATACGGATAGGCAATTGGCGAAATAAAGCTATTCGTTCTCGTAAAGCATAGGCATGGGAACGTTTCAGGTAGTGGGGCGCAAGCTCAGGGCGTACTTCTGGAACTTCTCCTGGAAAGCAAAATGTTCCTGAAGTAGGATGACCGTGAAGAAGGGGCGGAGGGGGGGGGGGGGCAGTGATGGAAGCTGTTCTCGCTCTGTGATCAAAGGTCATAGCTGCCATGCTAGATATGCATCCTGAGCTGTTCTTCAATAGTGCACAATTTTGTCTTTTCGACCTATCTATGTCATTCGGCAAGTCAGGTTATCCAGCTTTCCAGGATTATTCGTCCCTTACAACATTGCCTTTCCTGGGGAGGCGAAATTCCATGAGCGGGTAGCATTTTAGGTCATTGAGGAGGCATCTGCCTCCACAGGGTAGATGCCAAAATACGGCCTGGACATAGGCTGGTTAGAATTTTGAAAGTGAACCGATTGCTCACAACGCGACAGATTTGTCTTGTGCCTACATTTTGCTTGCTACTTTTCAAGAGATAAGACCCGTCGCGGCATTTAAGGTGGAAGCGAATTCGGAAGCTTGAAACTGCCAAAAACAATGCGCCAAAAGCGATAAAACTGGGGATTCTCCATTAAGAACCAAGCCACAGAATAAAGGCCTTTCTGTCAGATATTCCTTCTCTGGGTCCTGCTCCCGTCCGCCGTCGGCGGCCACTGCCCTGGCCCGGATGCTTCCCGCATGACTGACTGCGAACTGATCGTATGGCTGCTTTGCTGCATATTTCTGGATGAGCGTTATCACTAATCAATGTGTTAAACATATGATGGACACCTGCAACAGCATCCTTTTCCGAATTATCTTTTCTCACACCACACCATCGCAGAAAAAAACTCTCGGAAAACCGCCTGCCTTTGATATGAATTGGTCTGACGGACATTTAATTGCCTATCATTCAACGTAGCCAACTTGGTCAGCTTTTGTGTATAGGCAGGGGCGTAGCCAGATTTTTGCCAAGGGGAACACAGTGTTGGCAAAAGACCCTCCTGTGGTGAACCCCGCGAAAAAAGAATACCCCGGATAAAGCTTACTTGTTAACAAGGGCCCCGTTTTTCTTCGTTTTATTGTTATTTTTACCTTGCAACCAGAACAGAAACCAGAAGCTACCGTGCGATCAATTTTGTTTGCGTTTTGAAATCGATATACTGCAGAAATTAGGTGTTGAACGACCGCACGGTACAAATTACTGGTTGTCTTAACTTACAATGATTTAGTGGGAATTTCCAATGGTCTTCCTGAGCCGAAAAATAAACAGCTTTGTCAGATTTTTTATGTAGGTTCTGCAGACAATAGGACATGGTGAATGTGGATTAAGAATCGATATGGTGATCAAAATTTGAAGATGAAAATTTGGTTGTAGACCGAGTGGTCAACAATGTACTAGCATTGCCACGCGATGTTTATCTGGTTCAACATGCTATGTTCAACATTCAGTCAGAATCCATCGGTGATACAATTTATGTAACGTGGTTTTTTGACATGCGCGCTCGCAAACCTTAGCAACAAAAACCCTCGACACGAGGTGTTGCAGTCTCCATCGTCGGCGGAGTGTTAGCCCGGTGGCCTACGTTTAGCCTTGGCCCACCGGTGGACGAAAATGATGACGCTTCCGAAAAATATACATTAAAAACTGAAATCGGCCAATGATACAAGTTATGTGACATAGTTTTGAGCACGCGCACTCGCAAATTTTAGCAACGAAAAACCTCGACGCCAGGCGCCAGTTGCAGACTCCGCACGCCACGCAGGGTCGGCCCAGCAACTTATACTGAACGATGGCCAACGGGTGGACGAAAGTGATGACGCTTCTGAAAGAAGCATCTTAGAACGCTTCAGGACATCAAATCTTACGTTTAAAAGGCAGTCTGGGCCCATATTTCGCGTGGGCGATTTTTAGACTGATGGTAGGAGCGGATTGGCCCTTCAAGCACCGCAAATTGGTGCTGGAATCTGATGGTAGAAGTGGAAGAGTAAAGGTAGAATGTCCATTTTTCGTGTTTCTGTAACTATTAATCTGTCCAGAAGATAGATTAGCACGGTGCCCGCCGTCTGGTGGCACTTGCAGTGACCGACGCCGTTCGGTTTCGCGGAAGCTGCAACCCGGGCCATCGCTGTCATTGTTCGCGAGGTTGCGGACGGGCATGTTAAAACCTTTTGACGTTATTTGTTTTGCCAATCCATTCCGAAAAATGAGCATTTTCAAGCAGACATGACATGGCTTTGTTCGTTTTTCTTTTGCTCATTTCGATCCTCTATTCAACAATAATGGGACCCCCACTCTATTCAATAACATTGGGACCCCATATTTCCTTCCCTTGAGTAGAACACCAGGGACCCATGAACATTTCCAGTCCAGGGCTAAACGACCATCCCGTCTCATCGCAAAGTGTCTTCTGGCTGACATTCTGGCGACACGGGGCGGGATCTCCTGGTTGATACGGAGGCCCTTAGAAAGATGCATCATATCACATTGTTCCCCTCCTTGACACGGGAGGCTTTCTGACCCGTGGAGTTGGCCTCGGATCAGCACAGGAACCCTCACTGACGTAACAACATCTTTGATTGCTGCTTGCTGCAGGTGGTCCAATATTTGTCACATGGACTCCAGTTCCATATTTTCCTGTGTTCTTCGGAGACATTGAGGACTCCCTGAAAGTAGATTGTAGACAAAATGTTAGTCTAAATTTGTCTTAACATGGCTAATCCATGTTCGTCTAAAAATGTCCAATGTTCGGTCAGAACTGATGACTGATAATGTGGCGCGTGGCGTATCTATCCGCCGCGGGCCACGTGCTGTTTTCCAATGTGTGAGTACGGTTTTTGTTGTTGCGTGTGGCCCGAGTGCTTATTCCAGACATGCGTGCCAGGACGTTCAATAGGGGATGGCCCGTAAAAAACAACGACCCCATCGGAGTTGGGCGTTTCAGACAGTGAGACAGGCACAGTATGGGGAGCCCTATCGGCCTGACGCGTCGACGACTGGACACTTGGGGTCCTCACTTCGGCAAAATGTAAGCCAGGCGTAGGAATCGCCGATCATTGGCGATTCCCGAGGTAGCTGGCCCTTTTCCCCCTTTTTGGACATTTTAAGAAAACGTGTTCTGTGTTTTTTTTTATTGCGTATTCGCACATTATTCCTTGCCTATTATATGCCGTGTGCTACTTCGTGTTTGCGTTCTACTCTTTCGTTAACTCTGCAATACATTGATAGGTTGCGAGACTTGATGTTCAATTGTGCGTCTGCCAAGTGAATGTCAGATTCATCAGTTATAGGTTGCTGTATGACTTTTTTATTTCCAATAGCTTTCATTGAACCACGGCTGGCAATGAGCGACGAGCAGTACAGCGGAGAAGCTGGCGGATTGATCTCTACGTGTTCACGCCATCAACGGTAAGTACTCGCCGGGGCTGTTTTAGTCATGGTGTATTATGTAGACACATTGAACAAAATATTGTCGACACCGACACTGACGAGAGTTTGGCGGTCATTATCGAACAATGCTAATATGTTCGCGAATTATCTGATAGCGTTTGTTTCGACGCAAAGACAAGGATCTGTTCACTTTCATAACGACTCAGGCAGCTATACATAAGAGTATGTGCGTTCACCGTTGTCGTTCCGGGGGGCAGTTGGCGATACACCACTTCTGTCTTAACGGTGAAGTCGTTTGACATATCCCTTGATGCTTGTTAACTTACATACCCGCTGAGCTTGACCCCAAATGCCACATCACTAAAGACTAGGACTCGCGTGCCACGATGCCTGATTAAGGACGAGGCTGTTGAATTTTGTTATCTTTTCGCATGTTAAAGGGGAGGATTGCTATCATTGCATCGCATATCGCTACACATTGAAATTATTAATAACATAAAATACTCTGATACCGATATTACAATGACTATCACTTGCGTGCTACCAGGCTTCATGAAAAGCCAGGCTGTCGCTTTTCCCGGAATACTGCATGCACAGAGGAATGCGTCGTAGCTGACGATATACCACTTATCACATCTTGACCTGTTAACATAAGAAATGCATACATGATCACATATTGACCTAATTACTATTTCGGAACGACCAATGCACGACCCCGACGTAGTAGCTGCGGCATGCTATGTACCCTGGGCTTAAGTTCAACGAAAACAAGTATTAACCCCATCATTGACCTGCGGAGCTCCGGCTGTACTTGTTGATATGATGCACCATAATGAGGCCCATATTATAATTCAAATTAATGATCTTGCGTAGCTCATATACTGCGTACAGCTTGGGCCGACTGTGAATTTTCCACGAGTCGATAAAAGTTTTTTTGTGTCACCACGAGCTAAATGCGTCACAGATGTTTAGCATTATGAGTCCTTGCGGGGAGCGATGCAGAGTCATGCGCGGTGCGTAAGCAGTTGTGTAACCGTAGATTGAAAGGTCCCACTCCCTACAGAAATTAGGGAGTTGTCTGTTGGTTGTTCTCTCCGCGACTCACAGATGT